TTCATGTTTTTGGATAAATTGAGTGATGTACTCTCCTCACTTTTATGTTCAACTCACGTCTAATAACTCCTTCTTTAGCGATTTCGCGTGCACTTCAGAGGTGGTTAAATGACATGTGTTTGAATAATTGTAATTATGAGTAAAAGTTGCCATTGCCGGGGAATGCCCACTAAGTAGTTTCTATAAGGCGCTTGCCTCGCTGTTGGTTTTGTTATTGTGGTGACGAAGAGCCACAACACTAACCATCAAGTTTTGACGACTTCCCTCTCTTCTAATTTTCAACGCTGAATCTATTGAAGTGATTAATTAAATGATTATTTCTTCGTATGCATACGATTGTTCGTTAAAACTTCAGGGGCCGATTAACGCGTTAGCGTTAGAATTTTTTCTCATTCTTTTGCAGGCTGGAATGAATAATATAAGAGCAAAGTGTTTCAGTGCAGGCGCCGGTGATGGTGATTTGCCAACTCAAAGGGCCCATGGCGGCCTACGGTAGGGTGTTTAAAAAAATAGATTCGGCGGAGAACTCGATCTTTCGGTGCGCCTTGGTTTTTAGAGTACTGCAAAAAAATCGTAGCGAAATCGGACCCGATTTACTCGGTGCGCACCGCGTTTAAAGTTTCGGGGCGCGCGGGACTTGCCCGCGTCCGCGCCGCTGCCGCATCGTCTTTGAGCGCCCGCCGCGCCTCCGCGGGTAGCGACAGCGCAACGACACTAGCTGGGATTCTTCGGCAAGTCCCCCTAAGTCTATCGGTACCATCACCAGTCATGGGTGATGAACTTCTTTGTGCAGCAGTAGTTACTCACAAATTTTGTGAGTAATATTGATAATTTTGTTACTAATGACGAACAATTTTTATTACTGCTGGACAAAGAAGTTCGCCTCTCTATACAAATTGTCAGTATTGGCGATACTATTTTTGACACGCCACTCACACCCGGCATCCTTTTCCTAGTTCTGAAATACGAGGCGAGGCTGTACGGCAAGCCTGATTAAATCCCCAGGAATCTCTCTCTCGGAGAGTAGTCTTCAAGGGTAGCCGCTGCTGCCCTTTTCCCGAGGGACGACATACCAGCGGCCTCCATACAAAACCCTTTCTTGTCACCATCTTTTTGTTATTGTCAAAAAGTACTCCCGTGGATAGAATTTTGATCCAGTTCCCTTCGTTTTTATGTGTGCCAAGCAGTTCTTTCTTGTCCGGTCCCTGGCGGCACTCGCGGACTCCCGCTCAACACCATTCAAAGTCAATAACTATGGGGCGGGAAAAAAGTCGCACGAGCGAAACTCACACAAAAACTACTCCAAATCTCACATTCTCCTTGTCCCACGTTCCACGTGGCTGTGAATACTTTGGGGGAACACAGCTGCTGTCAGCCGCGACACGTTCGCTCCTGTTCTCATTCCAAGCCAGCAATGCGCGTACTTTGAGGCAACCTCAGAGTTATTTAAATACTGGGACGTACATTCAGTTGCATGGGGAATTGTGTGACATTGACGATGATGAGAATACTAAGTGATATTTGTCAAGTGTAAGCAGCATCGCTCGGCATACAATAATTACAGAACTTTCGTTATCATGTTATCAATTTGGCGCATCTTTGTTTCTCCCGGCAGAGTACACATACTAAGAGCTTATGAACATTATTATTCACAGCTTACTGAGTTCTGTGTACGTGCTCTGCTTATGCATTTTTTATACGCCAATGAACAAATTTGAACAAATTTGCCCCTTAGTTTTGAAAAGGTAGACTAGCCCGCTCACAGACGGAGCGGGGAGGTGGGAGGGGACGGGAGAGGAGGTAGGTGCGGGGGGTGGGCTAGTCTACCTTATTAAAACTACGGGGCAGAGCGGCCACCCTGTATAGGACGTACCGTATGCAAACCGTACTTTCTTGCAGCATTTTTAACAGTGCATTGCGAGTTGAGGAGTGCGTTCTAACTCGTGCCCGAGCTCAGCAGCTAGGACCCAGCCGTCAGGACCACAACGCAAAGGCCAAAACTTTGTACACCTTTACTCCTGTTAGCGCCGCCGCTGCGCCCGGCAGCTGAGCAAGGGCGAGCGCAGGTCGAGCTCGCGCGGTTAAAAGCAACTGAACTTCCAGCGGCAGTCGACGGCGACGCTTATATAGCCCTGGGAACGCCCGCAGCCAACGCGCGCGCCCCTCCGCCACTTGAACACCTGTTGCCAAAAGCACCTGTCATAGGGAGGCGGCCCCCCTTCACCTCTCCCCCTCCCTTCCCCCCGCAACTTAAGCCCCTCTTAAGCTATACCTCCACGTTGGGGCTCTGAAAAAAAAAGAAAACATCTCCCCCCTCAAGTTGTGCGGGGTGCGTTGCGGTGGGGTGCGTGGCGCGTGCCCTCCTGGTGCATGCGCTACACCACGTTATGCAGAGCACCCGAAATAAAAAGGGAGCACGTTGAAGACAAACGGGTGGAACATCCGGTTCCGCTTCCTTTCGCGAACCCGCGTCGACCACCAGGTCAGTGTGTGGGCCGCCGGTGGGCGCGCCAACAGGCGCGTCGGCGCGAGTAAGGTGAAATAAATGAGGTGGGGGGGAGGGGGGGCTTTTATACCACCCACCTCATTAAATACCGACGCGCGCCTTCAAGTCGACAGCTAAACCGAGCTGTCTGCTGCTCGTGCTTACGTTAAGCCCCCCCCCCACCCCCCTCTCTCTATTCCGTCCGCTCTTTCTTCGCTCGGAGCCATAAATAATACCACGAGCTCCTCTAGCGAGTGAGGCGAGGTTCATACCTGGCTGCAGCACATGGAGTAACTTATAGTTCGGTACGGTCTCACGAACAATGTGCCGCAATTACGACGTTCCCGGTGGCGCGCCACGCTTGTTACTTACTTGTTACTTCGCGTGCTTAAGCCGCCGCCACCTGCAGGGATGTAAGAGGGTTCAACGGCTTCGTCGACGTGGTCTTGATTAATTCGCACACACAAACATCGCAGAAACGTTTGTGCTGTTTTCAGCTTTGCGAGCGGCGCCGTAGCCTGCTGCTCTCGTGCAAAGTGCGCGGGATGGCTTTTATGATTTTGGAGAGCCGACGCCAGTGAAGTGAGTACGCCACAGCAAATACGCGGTGCTGAATAAAAGGGAAGGCTGAGAACATTAATAATTGACCCATAAGAGAGGGAGAGGGGCGCGTAGAGAGCACTACAGAAAACCAATATATTCGGTTTTCGGTGTAACGGGTGAGGAAAAAGGCAGACGGAGGAGTGGTCCATAAAATAGAGGGGTAGGGGGTGGGG